GGAAGAAGCGCGGACCTGATGAGGCTGCAAAACGACAGCCAATAATTAATGACCGACTCAATTCCAGCAAGTCGAAATTGGTGGATCCATCTCTCATCGCCTAACATTTCAGAGAGAAAAGAAGTTTCTGCTGACAGAAGGAGCTTCAAACAGAAAGGAGCAGCACACAGAAAAGTCAATTAATTATGAGGGACATGCTCTTTTGAAAGGGGATGGGAGCGACAGATAGATTGATATCCCCGGTTTGATGCCATTCCTTACTTCCCGTGCACCGATGATGTAGATACCTTGTCGTGACAGCTGGTAGTGATTTTTAATGCTCATGGCAGCCAGAATTTATTTTCGGAGAAATACGTTATCGTCAACATGTGACGTTTCACAATGTTACACAACATACACACACAGGGTTGGTAGGAGAGAAAATAGCTGGCGTGCAGCAGACTGAAGGGAGGAAGGAAGGAGAATGGAGCTGAACGAACAAGCCTGAGCACGCACACACACGCACACACACACACAGACACACACATCTTTTACCAGCCAGTTGGACGTGGAGCGAAGCAGCAGCAGCAGCTTGAGGAGAAACCAGAGCGCCTGACAGTCCCGGGTCGGGGTTTCACAGCAGTCCGGACCCTGACAGTCCAGCATCAGGGCTTAGTGCCGCCTCATGCAAAGGTCTGTCCAGCTTTCTACCTCACGGAGCATCTCTCCTGCTGGGACCTCCTGATCCGCTCTGTGGACTCACTGAAGACCTCCAGGTCCCTCAGGAGAGTGTGATGGCGATGACGTCTGGACACCAATGACCTCCTCCAGAGAGACGGTGAGTGAATGTCGACATGAGGAATTATCTTTATGATCAGAACGAAACTTCAGTTCGCCCGACGGAAGACAAACTGCTGGACTTTAAAGAAATATCACAACCTTTTGAAGTAGAAAGTGAAATGATTTTTAGTTCCACTTATTCAAGTGATTAATAAACTGGTTCAGCTCACATCCTGGTCTGACTTCATGGGTCTGTGTGAGGTGGGGGGGGAAGCTCAGATCGGAGACCTTCTGACGGGTTTCTGTCCTTCAGGGATGTGAGATTCAGAGGAAACATCTGACACATTTGATTTAATTATTAATACAAAATGCTGAGTAACATCTAAATCTTCTCTCTCTTCACAGGCTGGAACTCTTCTCCAGAATCTCAGGACTCTTGTTCTACTTGTGTGAGCGTGCACAAGTGTGTTTTCCAAGAAAAACTCATTTTTTTATTTATTATATGTAAATATATGACATATTTCTGGCCAGTGCGCTCTGATTGGACGATCACAGCTCTCTTCTTCTGCTGTTTCATTTGGGCTTTTCCACTGACATCAGACATCCAGTACAAACGGCCCACGTGGCCTCTTGCGATACGGAGGCAGGATGAAGACCTGCTGCCGATACACGATATAAACTCTTTCACTGCCGCGCGTTGGATTATCATCTTCTTCAGGCCAATAACTCTCGAGGCTCTGCGTTGGTTCCTTCTGGTCCAAACGTTAAAGGTCCAGAGCTCTGAAGCTCTCGTTGGACCTGCCACCGGGCCGACATGCTCCCCGCAGGGCCGGTGCCGGGCGGGGGGGGGCTCTGCCTGCTGCGCTGGCTGGGCCTCAGGCTGTGTTCCCGGAGGGGGACCCTGGTGTGCGCTCTGCTCTGGTTCGGCTCCTGGTTGTTCCTCAACGGCCTGGTTCTGGTCCACAGGAGCATCCTGTCCGACTACTGCACCGACGACAAGAGCAAGAGGATCCTACAGAGGCTGGTGAGTGAGACCCCCTTTAGTCCTCTAGTCCTCTGGAGACGCCTTTGGTCCTCTGGTGACCCACTGTAGTCCTCTAGTCCTCTGGAGACGCCTTTGGTCCTCTGGTGACCCACTGTAGTCCTCTAGTCCTCTGGAGACCCACTGTAGTCCTCTAGTCCTCTGGAGACCCACTGTAGTCCTCTAGTCCTCTGGAGACGCCCGTCCAAAAGCATCTCCTGCTTTATGGTCTGTTAGAGGCCTGTCAATCAGTGTGTAGCTGGCGACAGAAAAATACTTAAAATGCAAAAACACAAACAAAGATGCAAATGAACTCCAGGTGCATCCCCTGAGGACACTGATCAGCCAGCCACACTGCTGAATTATGGAAACATTTTTCCTTTTGTTTAGTCTTAGTT